GTCTGGAATTGAACCCACACCTGTGGTTTCTAGCCAAACAAAGTACAGGCATGTGAGTTAAACATTTACCTCAAGTAGACACAAGCCCTGGAGAGAACAATCATGGGAGAAGGGCTGCTTATGTACAGGGAGACAGCTCCAGGGGCAGGAGAGTATGGAGGGATGGACACTTGGAAGTGGTAACTATGGGGAGGATATAGCTACCAAGGAAAAAGAGGGGAGCTGTTGCATTGTGGTAAACTGTGGCCAATGACATGAGACAAAGTATATGTGAACTGCTGTATAGAAAGTGAATTTGCTCTGCAAATCTTCACCCAAATCACAATTAAAAAAAAAAAGAACACATAAGAACTAAGCCAATAAAATCTGTCCAGAAAGAAAACTGAAGATTGTCTAGTAAGGCACTAAAATCCAAATAATATGAACCATAAATATCCTTAAACAATCAAAATGCTTTATGGTACTTTTGCATAGCATATACAATCTATGAATATACGTTTCTAATACTTTTAAAGGATACTTTCTATAAATTTCTTAATTTAAGCCAAAGAAATAAGTATAAGAGAACGAAACATTTCCTTTCAACCTGGACACCTTACTGTTCGCCCCCGGGAAAGGAGTATTTTAGATGTTCAACAGTATTATGATATATGCAGAGGACTGAGACATGTCTTCTGAAAATTAAAGAGTAAGTGAAACTCAGTGCCAAGACAGAACCACCACAACTAGAAGGGAAGGCAAAACCGGGACAGCTCCTTCATGACTACTACCTGAATTTTTTTTTTTTAATTGTTCTTTATGCCTTAATTCAGTTCCTACTCCATGACAGAGTATTTCTAATATATAAAACAGTAACATTTTGGTCAAAATATCAGGAAGCTAGTTGGTAAAGCACAGTCAAATTAAGCTTAATGGTGTTATTCTTACAAATGCTAGTTATTTTGCTTTTCCCTCAAAAGTTGAAATGTAATCAAAGCATAATAGTGATACCAGAAAAATAAACTGTAAAAATGACTGCTTTGTCAGAAATTAGTAACACATACGTCCTCCTTCTTCTCCTTCTTCTTCTTCCTGGGGTGAGAGTCAGATTCCTGTGAGGGGGCGTTGAGTTCACTGGAATATTCACGTATTAAAACTTCAATGGCCCCTTTAATCATCTGATCTCTTCTCTTTGTTTCTTCATCTAAGGCTTCTTCATCATCAGTAGTGACCGTCTCTGGCCTGGCATTCTTAAGCAACAAGGCAAATTCAAGGGAGGGGGGAAAAAAGAATCAAACAAGAAAATGAAAATCATTGTAATAAGAGTTAGCAAATGAAAAGGAAAAACAACGTGTTCTTCAAAATATCTCCACAGACCTGTTAAATGTGGAATTGGCCTTGTTCTTAACTTCACAAAAGTAAGTTTCATTTAGTTTTTTCCTGAGACACTAGTACTTTATCATTTTCTTTTCCTCTTTTTCCTGGCTAATCAGCTATAAAGCATTAAAAGGCAGGATCATCATTTTCAGACTATCTTGCTACCTAGGTGTACAAATCAATTATTAATAAAATAACTGCTTCCTGCAAACAGACATTGGATACTTGGCCAATTTAGTTATGTTTCACTTTGTCAAAAAAGCAGAATATAGTGTCATGTATACTACAATACCCACCATGTAAAATAAACAAAAGGATATGTAAGGTAAACAGACAGAAAAAAGCACTAGATAGCTATATACACCAAAATGCAAGCATCAGGTAGGTTAGGGGCTGAAATCATGGCTTCCCACACACATGCCCATTTTCTGTAATTTTTAAAATATGGAAACGCTACTTAAAAAAAATTATGTATTTATGTAATTAGATATCAACTCTAAATACTATATAAATCTTCCTCTCCATGACCAGCACACACAACAATGCAAAAAAAAAAAAAAAAAATCCATGTTGTAATGCTTCTTACAATTAAGTAACTAAATATTGTAGGATTTTATTAACAATCTTTTAAGAGAAATCTAATTAATTCTAGGTCACTGTGAAAAATAAATTAGTGGCTTCTACTGTGCTTAGGCAACCTACTTCTGCAGAGATACTGCCTTAGAAACCCAAGGAGCAGTCACTATGAATCGAATCGATTCAACAGCAGTGAGTGAGAATGTGCTACTCAAGGAGATCTGGAGGCATAGCAGGTAAGAAATCTGGCTGCTAACTAGAAGCTCAGTAGATCACACTCACCCACTACTCCGTGGGAAGAAGAGACAAGGCAATCTACTTCTGTAAAGATTTACAGCCTTGGAGACCCAGTGGGGGTCATTATGAGTCAGAATCGACTTGGTGGCAGTGGGTTGGTTTATTTTTTTAATGTGCTACTTAGTCCTTGGAGAAGGACACCATGTTAAAGGTCAGAGAAACAGAGGAAGACCCACAACAAGACAGATTGACACAGTGGCTGCAACAATAGGCTCAAGCAAAGCAACAATTGTGAGGATAATGCAGGACTGGGCAGAATTTCTTTCTGTTGTACATAGGTTCACTATGAGTTGAACAGACTCCAGGACATTTAACACCGACACCAACAAGAACAATGTGCTACTTGTTTCTATCTTAACCTAACCTAATTTAAACTCCCCGGTTAAGGAAATAATCCAGTTGAAATCACAAACAAAATGTAGAGAATAACCTCAAACACTGGATAATTGAGTTACCACCAACTACTGATTTCCTAAAACATGAAAGAGGAAAATGTCTGACAAAGAAACAACAAATAAAAGTCACTTTTGTCTTTGTAACTTAAAACTGCATACATAAGCATATCCCAAATTACTTACTTGTTAAACATATACCATGAACATTTTCAAAGACACAAACAAGAATTGTGTACTTATGCATTAATGCCTGGTTATTACTCAAAAAACACACACCTCCAGTCAAAGTGAATTTCACACTTTGACTTCATTACAATATAAACTAGCAGTGATTTATTTCATAACTCCATCAACAACATTCTGAATAGTCTCTTCAAAAGATACTATTCAACATTTTTTTTTCCTAAAATTAATTTGCTCAACATATACATATATTTTTAACTTTTTATTGTAATATAACTTCGTTATTGGGGGTGGGTCCATCTATCTGGTCACCTCTAACTTCACCATGGAGGGAGAAGGATTCCTATGAAGCAGAGGTCAGACATGCTTCTATGTTCCAACTTTTTACAAATTCTGACACCAGCAGTCCCTTACCATGGCACTCTCTCCTTCTCTGTTGGGATTGATAATTTGTTGCAATGGGCACACAGAACTCACAAACAATACTCACATTTATGGAGTTCATTAGGGAAGTAAGAGGCTATAATACAAAGCTTTTTTAGCTCCACCAAAAAAATGCCCAGAAGCATCCCACTCCACTAGTAAACCTCAGCTTTCTCACTCTGTGGGCCAGGAAGGCCACTGCTTTGTCTCGTGCTCGTTTCTTGGTTCTGCTGCCTCTGCTGCTGCCATTTCTCTGTTACTGCTTCTTGCTATGTCTGGTGTCACAGCTGTCTCCTGGATCAAGGAGGTTCAGTGTAGGGATCTCAGGTCCAAAGGACATGCTTTACTCCTGGCTCTTTTTTCTTGATGGTAATAAGATCCTCCTTTCTGTCTCTTGGATGATTCATTTTAAGCCCAGTGAGATGGCCAACCCGATCAACCTCCATATTAGGGTTCCATACACATTATTTCCATGGTCATATCCCTACGAGGGTGCCATGCACTTTATTTACATTGTTAGCAAGCTATCCAATCTTCCTGGTGGGTCACAAGCACCTCAAATTTGCTTAGTCCTACCCAGTCATTTCATAGCAGTTAATAAGACTATGGCTAGAAGGGTCATACCAAGCAATTCATTGTAGTGCATGTGATTTAGGTGAAAGTTTACAGAGCAAATCAGTCTCCGAATCAACAATTCATGCACACTGTGTTTCATAACACTGAACATAATCTCCACAATGTAACAGCACTCTTCCCACTTCCTCCCTATGTTTGTCGTTTGTCTCTCTTTCCTGTCCCTTCCTGCCTTCTCAACTTTGTCCCTAGGCAAATGCTGCCTTTTTCACCTCATATGGTTGATTGTCCTAAGGAATGCCTACACCTCCCTAGTGTTATTATTCACGTTATAGGCCTGTCTATCGTCTGGCTGAAAGCTAAGCCACAGAGTTAAGTTCAGGTTTGAAGGATATCTAAGAGCCATAGCCTTGGGGGTTCCACCAGTCTCTTATCAGACCAGTATGCTTGGTCTTTTTTATGATTTTTAGTTTTGTTCCACATTCTCCTCCCACTCTATCCAAGTCTGTCTACTGTGGTCCCAAGTCAGAGTGGTGGGTAGTGGCAGCCAAGCACCATGTAGTTCTGGTCTCAGAATTATGGAGACTGAGGTTCACATGGTCCATTAGTCCTTTGAACTAAATGTTGCCATGCATCTTTGATTTTCTTCCCTCTTCTTTGCTCCATACAGGGGAGCGGGGAGAATGGATATGGGGCAACATCTAGATGGCTGCTCATAAGCTTTTAAGACTCTAGTTGCTACTCACCAAAGTAGGATGGAAAACATTGTCTTTGTGGACTACGTTAAGCCAAGTGACCTTGATGCACCCAAGACTACAGTCCTGAGGCCCCAAGCCCAGTGATTCATTCCCTCAACGTGTTTTGGTTATTGCCAAGAAGCTTTCATAACTTTGCTCCTGTATGCTCTACTCGCTACACGGATATACTTGTAGAACATATAAATATACATGTAGAAGTATCCTCTATCAAATATGAAAATATTTTTGAGAATAGTCCCATTCCCCTTCCCACACCTGTTCAACTTGGTTGTCTATGTATCTACTTGTAGATTATTGCTATTACTGTTACTGCAGGATTGTGCACTTAATAGTTATTTACCATTATTGATTTTAACTCCTATTTAGTGCCTACTATGTGCAAGACTCTGCCAGATGACATAAAATTCTAAAGTAAAAAAAGAGATAACCTTGTTCTCAAGTGTCTACAAATACAAGTTAAGACATGGGTTCACACAGATCACTTCAGCATAAGTCATGACATAGTGTTATGGAACTAATCACTGTAAATAAGAGCTTCTTACTTTCTGAAACCTGCCTCTTCATCCAATCTCCTTGCAGCCAACACTGTACTTGGCTTCTTATAAGATACTTTACCCAATAAATGTAAATAAATTTGTTAAGATTATTTACCAAAAATATAGTAAGTTATAACTGTTATAATGTGTTCCTATTTTAAAACAATGATATATTACGAATCAACTCTTTAATCTATACTGGTCTCTCAAAAACCACTTCAGTGATATACTGGTTCTATCTAAGATTTAAATGAAAACATTTTTCATTTATATCTCAGTTACCTGGCACTGAAAACTTACATCCTGAGACACACAGAAGACACACTATTTTAATCCAAACACTCAGCTGTTGAGACCTAAATTCTGTTTATGAAGAAACACTTTGTAGGAAGTTACCAGTCTGTCACTGGCATTTTCTCTACATCCTGATTTCCGTCCAACGAACTTGCCACATCTTTATGTTTTTTCTAATAACAGGGACAGAAGGGGAGCTATAAATCCAGAGTGCTACTTACGTAATAACTCACAACCCTTAAATTTGCTATCATCCCATTCTAAACCAAAATTTAAATATTAGCTACTTTTACCTAATTTAGAATTAAAGCATTTGCAATTGAACTAATCCACAATACTGATTTACACTAGTTTGCAAATGAATGATTGCCACTATATCCACAGAGGAAATGCAAAACTTTAGAAGGAAATCTTATTAAGACCAAATTTCTTAACTAATTGCTGATTTAAGAAAAAGAAAAATAATCAAAATCATAAAAAGAGTTGTCCTTGTTGTTTGAAGAGACCATGCCATAGACTGGCAAGTTTCAGCTAAAGCTCTGCTTCTGGTTCCTTAGCCATAAACCAGTTCTAGATTTCCAGTTTCTTCTTCCACTTCAGTTACCAAGAAACACATTCAATAATATGGCAAGCAAACAAATGGAGGGTTTAGCAGTATTAAGAGAGTCATAGAAATCAACTACGTATCTGGGATATTTTAAGTGGCCTGATTACTTGGCTCTTGCAGAGGAATTAAAAGAACTAAGCTGTGCCTTCTCAGTAATAAAACTACCAGTTGCAAAGTCATAAAACAGCTGCAGTGGTAGACTCACTCTTTGGCACTGACTTCTAGAGTTCAAAACAAGAATCTCTTTGAAAACTAACTTAAGCAAATCCAGAGCTTTTTCAAGGTAGACTTCATCAGGCTGATTTCCAGGCAAAGACAGTACTCCACCTGCAGCCTCTGTCCTCTACTAGAACGTTACATGCATGGTTCTGTTCCAGAGAGTATCTGCACTTGAAATATTTGTCAGATTTCACTCCCGAATGTATACATAACAGTTATTACTTAAGAAAATCCAGCAGATATCTTATTCTTACACTGTTGCTGCTGGACATCCAGAAAACAATAAATAAGACACAGACTAGACAGGCACGGCTGCATCCAGTGAAATAGCCTTACTTATAAAACCTCAGTAAGAAATGGCAGCAACAACCACAAAAAAGTTGCCTCTACATACAGTACTGCATTGTCAATGAAGGCAAACATGGGTATACAGGGGAACAGATAGGTGGACAGGCTGATTAGTTATGTCTATGCAGGAGGGAGTATACCCAAGACCATGCAGAGAGTTGGCAGACAACTGTTCTACAAGTGTATTCGTATGTTTTGTAAGAATTCCCAAGGGGTTATAGTAGAGCTGACAATGGAAAAGGTTGTAATCACTTCTTGGTCACAGCCAGCTACACAGAGGGAGAAAGTGGCTGAACCTGTGGGCTCAGGACCATGAAACAGGGGACATCAAGCTCAACTGGCATTAACATACTGCACAAAACATTGTTCCACGTCCTACTTTGGCAAGTAGTGAATGGGATCTTAAAAGCTTGCAAGTAGCCATCTAGATACAACGATGGGTCTATCCTTGTCCAGAGAAAAGAACAATGAAGAAAACCAAAGATTCATGGAAACAATCAGTCCTGGCAACTGACACACCATATGATCCGCAGCCTATACGACTATGAGACCAGAAGAACTAGATGGTGCCCGGCTACTAATGTCAACCACTCAGAGGGGCATTTATGTAGGAGATACTGCAGAGAGGAACAATGTAGAGCAAAACTCAAAATCATTTGGGGAAAAAATAAAGGGGGGACCAAGTTTGCTGGTTTGACAGAGCATGGTGGAACCACTGAGACTATGGTCCCTAGCTGCCCTTCAGGTCTGGAATTGAACCCACCTGTGGCTTCCAGCTAAACAAAAGACAGGCATATGAATTTAACATGTACCTGAGGCAGATATACTCCTTGGAGACAACAATCATGGGAGAAAGAAGGGCTGTTTATGCATAGACAGACAGTTCAGGGGGTAAAAGTGCATGGAGGGATGGACAAAAGGAACAGGTAACTATGGGGAAGTGGGAGGGGAGCTGTTGCATTGGGGTAAATTGTAGTCAATGTCATGGGACAACGTGTGAACTGCTATATGGAAAGTGAAGTTGCTCTGTAAACTTTCACCTAAATCACAATAAAAGAAAATTTAAAAAAAGTTGCCTCTACAAACTCTGCAAAATTTCAACCAATATGTTTGACAAGGGACCTAACACAAGACATGGAATTCCTCCTCAAATACTATGTCAGGAAAAACAGCTGTCTCTTTTTCGAGACTAACTTGTATGTTTCTTTTTTAGTCAATGAGAACTGTATGTACAACTAATTGTGTTTTCTTTCTGCTTGGGAGTCAAAGGAAAATGCCTGATTAGATAAAATAACGCATACCAGTTTCTCAATGTCTCACTGTCATATCATCTACCACATCATTGTTTTCTAAATTTCTCCAACAAATTATAAAGAACACCCTCAACTTCCCACGTGTGTGAAAAACCATAGCAAATCTGCTGTCTACTTCACAGTGTAGTTATATATGCTAAGTAATTGGGGAAAATAAATATATCCCAAATAGAATTGCTCAACCTTTTTCCGTTAACCCTAAATACAACTGACACTCATAGAAAATACATCGTGTGTCTTGTGACTTCAAGTAACTTTGGGCATGTGCCAAGTACATCCAGAAGTACATATGTAACAACGGGAAATGTAAAACAATAAAGTGATGTATTAATCGTTTTAATTCCATTTTATCTGAAATAACTATTCTATGTATTTTTATTAGAGATGGTTTTAATTCTACTTTATTAGTTTTATAATTTATTTTTTGCCATTGAGATTTAATTCCATTCTTGAAAAAAGAAGCAAACAAATTTAAAATGTTGTTCCAAAGGCTCGTGGTGATTACAAATGAAATCCAAAGTCACATAATTGTGTATTTCCTTGTTTATATTAATGTATAAAGGGATTTACTTCATATTCAGAGATCTTAGTATACCATTTGTAAATGCTCCAGATTAAATCACCTCACAAACTAGTAATTAAGTCAGTCCAAGAGAACTTAGACAAAAAAACTTTTACAGTCCACAGAAACTGTTATAGAACTGTGCAGACAGTAATCAAAACTATGAGGTAAGCAATATAACTGCAATTATTATATCTATAAGTGCTCACTCCATTTTGCTATGGGCAAGATATTATGCTAAATGCTGTGAGAGGTACAAAGAGAACATAGAGAATTTAATTCTTCCTGAGAAGAATTGAGAATATAATCAATGAAGGTATGAAACAATGGATATTTTAATTATACTTCTAAGTACAGAATTTCAATAGGGCGCTTGGAAAGGCAACAAAAACATGAGATGCCAGCAAAACACATGGAGAGAAGGGGAGCAGTAAGCCAGAAATACAAAGGGAGACAAGAGTCAGTCTTAAATGCCATGCTAAGAACTGGGATTTTATTCTTATAAATTCCAAATTAAGACTAGAAGGGCTCTGTATGCACAGGGAGACAGCTCAGTGGACAGGCATACATGGAAGAGAAGTACAAAGGAAAGAGGTTAACTATGAGGAGGAAGTGAGAAGAGAGCTGTTGCATTGTGGGAGATTGCAGTCAATGTCATGAGACAAAGCGTATGTCAAATTCTGTATGGAAGATGAATTTGCTCTGTAGACTTTCACCAAAATCACATTTAAAAAAAAAAAAAAGTCAATAATAAGAGAACAAAAAAACAGATTTAAAAAAATAGTATGAATAAAAAATGAATAAATAAATAAATTCCATATTAAAAGAGCATGAGCAGAAGCTGACATGCTTAAGTTTTAGAAATGCAGGTGGTATGCTTAACATTTAGATGAGAGTAAATAAAACCCAGGAAGATCAGTTAAAATATTATTTAAAAGTCTAAGACAAGACAGGATTACGTTAAAACAAAACAAAAAAAAAAACATATTTATAAAATACTACTTAGAATTCATTCATGATTTTATTAAAGGAAAACAAAAAAGGTCACATATTTCCATTCACACTATATTTATCTGGAGAAAAATATCCAGAAAAATATGCAACTAATAGGTAGTTGCTTACGATAACAGGATTAAATGGTATTTAATTCCTTTTTTATATCTGGGTTTGTGAATTTTCTTTTTAGCAAAGAACATATAATATTTTATAATGATGGTGGGGCAAAAAGCTATTTCTGTTTTGAAGAAAGATAAAGTCTGCACTAGAGAGTGCAAAGGCTGCTTTTCTTATAATTTTTTATTTTATTGGGAGGGGAGGTTAATAATCTAATGTGGACCAGTTCAGCTTGAGGTACCAAAAGAAACTAGGAAGGGAAAGTAAGGAAAAATACACCCAGGTTTCAGCTACTGCTTGTTTTGTTAGGAAAGGGTAATAATACATACATTACAACACAACACACAAACATTTATTTTACTTTAGATTTACTTAATGCAGGAAAAAGCCATCCAACTGTGGAAAACAGGAACACTTATTTTCATTCATCTTAGAACCTGTGTATTTTCTAAAAGAGGGCAACTAACAAAAATTCTGTAGGTTGAAATATATTTTGTACTTACTTAAAAAGCTGCCTTAATGAATTAGTTCTGTTTGGAATAGTCTGTACCAGTGTTTTCTCTGGCAAGTTAACCTTGTCCAGCCTCCCTTACTACTTTCATCCCAACCTGGAACAAGCAAACCAACAGTCATCCACCCACTGTGGGTAGATAAAAGACTTAAAATAACTACAAACTATCAAACAAACCTCCTGCATTTTAGTCATAAGCATATATTATTATGACGATGATCTTGTGAAGCCCCATATTAGATTTATTTATAGTAAGAAAAGCATTTACACTGAAATAGCACAACTAACCTAGGGAAGGTAACACCAGAAACATACCCCATTAGAAGCTTTCTTCTTTGCTTTCCATTCATCAAGCTGTGCTTTTGTCTTTGCATCAACTTTAACAAGCAGCTTCTTCTCTCCAATCTGCAGGTCATGCAATAACCTGAGTGCACGGAGGGTAGATTCAGGCTCCTTATACTCACAGAATCCAAAGGCTAGCAATGGATGTAAAGTATTAGTGAAATATCATTAGACATGAAAGATGGAAAGGAAAAAAAAAAAGGAAATCAAAATCATTAGTGACCAAATATAAGGATTACCCAAGTCCTCATTCCTCCCTTTCCTTCTGTATCTTTGGTAAGTATTTCACTTTCATTAGCAAGTTGAACAATCAAAAGATCTTATACTAGTATTTTTTATGTGTTTTTTAAAAAGCCTTTTTTTTTTTTTTTTTTTTTTAAATTTAGTCTTCTTAAATTTTATTATGGCAAACACATACACATCAAGACATTCACCAATATAACACCTTCCACGTTTACAGCTCAGGGACACTAAAGACATTTTTCATGTTGTGCCACCATATTGCTATCCTTTTCCAAAATACTCCACCACTAACATAAACTCAATGCCTCCTCAAACTAAAGCCTGCCCTTTCCCCCTCCCTCTAGTGATCACTAATAATATTCGGTAAACATATATGTGTACACACACACGCACCCACCCACATTTTTAAACTTATTTAGCAATTTTCCCTCCCTTCTCCTCTCACCCTTGGTAACTAAGAACGCTTCCTTCCATATATAAACCTCTCCTTTACTTTGTACAATAATGGACTAATACAGTATCTGTCCTTTGGTGCTTGACTTATTTCACTCAGCATAATGTCCTCCAAATTCATCCACATTATGCAGTGTTTCACAGAGTCTACATTATTCTTTAGTATTGCATGGTATTCCATTATGTCTATGTACCACAGTTTGGTTATCCATTCCACTGTTGATGGGCACTTAGGTGGCTTCCATCTCTTTGCTATTATAAATAGCACTGCAATAAATGTGGGTGTCCATTTATCTATTCACATGCTAGTTCTCACTTCTTTAGAATATATACCTAGTAAATGAGACTGCTGGAATTAAAGGTATTTCTTAATCCAACTTCTTAAGGAATTGCCATACTGCTTTTCACAGTGGTTGTATCATTTGACAGTCCCACCAGTGGTGTATGAGAATCCCAATCTCTTCACATCCTCACCAGCATTTACTTTGTCTTGTTGAACTGTGCTGTTACTGCTAGGGTAAGATGGTATCTCACGGTTGTTCTGATTTGCATCTCTCTAACAGAGCAGTGCCTAAGGCATTTGACTGCTAACCAGAAGCCTGGTGGTTCAAACCCACCAGCCACTCCTTGGAAGGAAGGTCTGGCAACCTATTTCCATAGTGATACCTCGGAAACCCAAGGAGGGATCGCTATGAGTCAGATCCAACTGGACAGCAGTGAATTTGGTTTGGAATGACTAATTATCGTGAACATTTTTTCACATGTCTACTGGCCTCCTGAATATCTTCTTTGGTAAAGTGTCTGTCCATGTCTTCTGCTCATTTTTTTAATTGGATTGTTTATTTTCTTGAATTTGCAGGGTTGGAGTCATCTACAAATCTTACAAATAAGTCCCTTGTCAGATATGTTGCTGAACATTTTTTCCCAGCCTGTAGGTTCTCTTTTCATTCTTTTGGAGAAGTCCTTTGATGCACATAAAGATTTAATTTTTAGAAGGTTCCAATCATCTAGTCTCTTCTGCTTTTGTGCACTTTGGGTTATGCTTCATAGTCTATTTATGCCATAAATTAGGGCCTCTAAGTTTGCCCCTACTTTTCCCTTGAGAAACTTTATAGTTTTAGTTTTCACATATAAGTCTTTGATCCATCTGGAGTTAGTTTTTGGGTACGGTGTGAGGTATGGATCTTGTTTCATTTTTCTGCAAATGGATATCCAGTTTTGCCAGCTCCCTTTGTTAAAGAGACTATCTCTACACCATTTGATAGATTTCGGCCCTTTGTCAAAGTTCAGCTGACCATAAGTCAATGGACCTATTCATGGATTCTCACTTTTGTTCCACTGGTTTACATGTCTGTCACCATACTAACATCAGGATGTTTTGACTACTATGGCTGTACAGTAGGTTTTGAGATCCAGGAGTGTGACACTTCCTATTTAGTCCTCTTCAGTAGTGTTTTCCATACTCAAGAACTCTTTTCTTTCCATATAAAATCAATGATAGATTTTTCCATGTCCTTAAAGAACGTTTAGAGAATTTGATCAGAATTGCACTGAATGTATAGATTGCTTTGGGTATTACTGACATATTCACAATGTTCAATCTTCTATCCATGAGCATGGTATGTTCTTCCATTTAAGTAGATCTCTTATAGATTCCTTAAGTAGTGCTTTAGTTTTCTTTGTATAGGTCTTTTGTGTTCCTAATAAGATTCAGACCCAAGTATTTTCTTTTTGGTAGCTATTGTACATGGTCTTGATTTCCTTGTTTCCTTTTCAAAGATGTTTAAAAAGTCTTTATCTTTTAAATACATACTAAAATATTTAAAGAAAATGGTCTGTTGCTAGGGAGAAAGTGGATGGTTTTCAGATGATGCACAATTTGCCATAAATTGATAAATATTAAAAAATTGGGTGACGAGTCTATGGGGGTTCATCATACTATTCTAATTTTTAAAATACATGAAATTTCCTATAATAAACTTTTTAATAATGTAGAATCAGAGTCAATTCCAAGATGGTAGAATAGACAGAAAGACTGCACAGACCCTCTTCAACAAAGAAAAGGAGAACCAATTAACACAGACACAGAAGATAATCCTGGATCCCTGCGCCTTGAAGGAAAGGATATAGAAGTGGACTAAACCCCAACTAGCAGAAGAATTTGCATGAAAATACCAGAAAAGGAGTCATAGGGAGCTGTGGTCTCCCAGCGATCCTGACTGATCCTGACAGCACAGAGATCTTAGAGATTCCCGAGTGGTGGTAGGACCTAAGAATTAACCTAAAAATCAGCCTTGCTAGCCAGGGACTGCACAGAGAACTGCTCTGGTGGTTGGAGAATAAAAGGGGAAGCAGCAGTGAAGAGGAAGACAGGCTGAGCTGTGGACTTTTGCCTGCCTGGAGGGCGCTGTCATTTTGAATGTAACCAGCTTGACCATTTTGGCTATTTAAAGAGACAGTGCTCTACCAGATTCCAGGGGCTAAAGAACAGGTTCCGCTTACCAATAACCCCAAGGGCACTCCAGACCTGCACAACTAAAAAGGTGTGACATTCCTCGTTACTCTTATACCCCACACCCACTTGCTGAACGGAGGTGCTGCCATCCCCCACTCCCTCCCACCCACCTTCTGGGCCTGCAGGAACTCCATCCCAGTCTGTGTGCTCAGACGGAGCCTGGGTGCCCTGCCCTGTCCTCCATTTTTCTTTTTCTTTTTTTTCTTTCTTTTCTCTGGTGTTTAGCTTGCTTGTATTTCTGTTTTAAAACTACTGTTATTATTAATACTTTTGGTCCTCTTTATTATTATTCTTTATTCTTCTGCTACCAGGTCCTAGTTTACAGCTTTTTTTTCTTTTCCCTCTTCCTGGTTTAAAAAAATATTTTTTTATTTAAATTCTCCCCCCCCCTTTTTCTCGTGGTTAACCCCATTCCTTGTTTGTCATTTTGCATTTTTCCCATTTTCTTCATCATTATTCTCCTTCTCTACCATTTTCCTCTTAGTGCCCTATCCCCAGATATTGCAGGTTTTCTTCTTTTCTCTTCTTCTTCTTTCCCTTTTTTCTTTTTTTGGTTACTGTTCCTGTGTGATTACATGGTGTATTTTTTGTCCATGTGCTTCTAGTTTTTTGATATTTATTCAATTGTAACTTTTGTCAACTGAGTGGGAGACAGCAACGGTCCGCATAAGACACAACTACACCTACACCTCCTGTAACTTCACTTACTGAGCGAGAGCCACCACCTCCTCTCCACCAATGGGCCAACAATAAAAAACCACCAAGAAGAGCATGAATCACCCTTGGCTGCTCTTCACAGTTAACAGAGATCTAAATACAACACCACAATGTCTCAGACACAA